AGTTAGCGGAGGATAAACCCCACTGTTACACTACTCCCCCTTTTCTTTCAAGATTCGTCCTCGAATCTTCCGAGTCCGACATCCCTGGAGCTGCCACACTTATCCTCAGTGCCAGTACTCACAGGGCCCACATCGGGCGCCACTGTAAAAACCGAAAGGGGCGAGCAGGTCACAACCGGGAATCGAACCCAAGTTATCCGCTTGGCGGTCACCAACGCTAACCACTACACTAAAAGGTCGCACGACCATTTAGCATGGTCAGTTAGCGGAGGATAAACCCCACTGTTACATTACAAATGCTGGTGAATATCACATGTCTTTATTCAACTTCCTGTTAGTGTGTCTGTGTTTTTTTTGTAAGCTTTTTGTTTCTTTCCAGAAGCCATGACACAGATGACAGACCTGTAGTAAGCCTTTCTGCACCAGGTCTTTAGTGGAGAAGTAGAAGGATCCGTTCTCGATAAGTTCACCGTCCCAGTCCTGTCTGCGAGGTCTCTTAGCAGGGTTCAAGTTCAACGGTTCTGTCACCTCCCCTGTAAAATCAATCAGGTCTCAAATCAACAGGGATTCATAATACAGAAACTCTCACACTACAGAAATTCTCTTACTGAGGGCTGGAAATACCGGGTGCATGTGCACCTTACTAGTAGTGCACCCAAAATTGGACCTGTGCACCCAATTTTTTTTTCTGTGGGTGCACCCAAAATTTTTGTAGGTATTTTTGTACATACATTATTAAATTGAATAGTATTATACAGTATTAAATAAACCCTGCCGCACAGAATGGTACAAAACATCGCCCATTCCCTACATTGTTGAGCTGTTAAACGCTAGTTAAAATTCTTCCCTGCTTTTACTTAAGAGGGCATTGAGTGACTGAGTTCGGCTAGCATTGACCTTTACCTCTACTTGTGTAAATAGGCATTATTATAGCTCTCTAGCGAATTTGTGTGATTATCGTGTAAATTATGTAATTTTTAAACCACTGTTTAACGTCAATTTTATGAACTATAAAAAACACCTCAATTCACACTGTCGTCTGCTAGTTGTTTGAATAAAGATTGATTGATTGAATGTATAATAGTATACAGGATGTTCTTGGCATCTAAGTGTCAGATAAAATAATAAAATCATTGTTGTAGACTTGTAGTACTTGTTTAAAATTTTGAAGTTAGCTTCCATTTCAGATTGAAGCTTTTAAGAAAAGCAGCAGTAAGATCTGTAATCAGGTTTTGTTTTATATATGGTGCACCCAAAAATTTGTTTGTGCACCTAATTTTTTAGGTTGGGTGCACCAGTGCACCTATTCCCAAAAATGAATTTCGAGCCCTGTAACAAAAATGTCTGGCCACACATTGTAAAAGCAGTCTAGTTTTCAAACCATCAAAAATCCCTAACACAAAAATCATTGATGTTGACTTAAAATAGATGAACGTACAAACTATATAGTATAAAACCCCATAATGACCTCCTTACAATTGTAAAGATAAGAATGTTAACATGTCACATATTCCTCTGGCCTTACCAAAACAACGTTACATTGGAAAGTACTGAGGCCACACCAATTTAATTTCTTGGTTAACGGATTCGCCCGCTTCCTTTTTTTCTGATTTGCAAAATAAATTTATTAAAAATTCAGAATCAACTGCAAAATGCTCATATTTTGCCCTGAACAGTTTAAAACAGTCCTTTTCATCCTAGTTGTTACAGTTATACCATCTTTCAATGCGGTGGTATCATTTTAAGTTCAAAATTCATTGTTTAAATTTTGAACCAGCCTGGTGTGTTGACTTCATGGCTCCTATTGTACCAATTTGGGCCATAATAGGATGCCTAGGCCTGCTTTTAGTTTATTTTTTTTCCGCCCGCCTGCTCCATTATTTTTCTAGAAAAATCTGTTAACCATGAAATTAAATTGGTGTGGCCTGAGTTCACCAAAATGAGGAACAGCAGAAAAGAGATGGGAAAAATAATATCCAACAATGGACAAACATTGTTCT